TTGTAGGCGCCGCCTTTAGCCCTCGGGCGAAGAACCCAACACAGACATACGACAACCACTACATTCCAAGGGGGGACTCCCGTGCTCTACAGTGGCGAACAAGCAGTCATCGCGCCATCCGCTCCCCACGGGGTCGCAGATCAACATCCCTGTCCGACACGCCACCCGCGGGGGCAGGACGGGACGCACCCACTTGCTAAATGAGGCCAGGGCATGGCCTACGAAGATCAACAAACACGCCGCTTCTGACACGGTCTGCCATGTTATGCAGGGCAGGTGCGGGAAAAAAGGAAGACCCGGATCCTTCGAATGACCTTCTATACCCTTGGTTTTTTTCCTCTTTCTCCCATCTGTAACCCCTGCTCCCCCCTCGGTCTATAAAAGGGAGGGCAGGGCTCCCCACTAGAGGGACCGACTTTTGACGGACAACTCACACACAGACGAACTCACAGAGAGTTCGGTTCGACACATCACGCACACAGCCAGGCCGCCACCAGGCTCCTGGTATCCTTTCGACCCTTTCATCGAGACACGGGACCGGTCCCTCTCTCGACCGTTTGTACCCCCTACTACGAACCTTTTTGGTGCTAATAACACGAGCAACAACAAGTGGGCGTAGGGACATTCAACCCGAACCGGTATAAATCTTGTGTCCTTTAGCGCACCATCCAAGACTTAACGCGCATCAATTATAAATTTACTAGCGGTATTTGTTCGAAACACCGACACTACTGAAATTCTATAGGCCATTTCAGATAAACAGTTAGCTATAAAAGACTATAGTTAGGCTTCAAAAGACTATCGTTAGCCCTGTCTAAAATACTATCCAACCAGCCTATACATACAAGAACTGAAAGTTTTATTCGGCACAAGTTGGAGCTGTTATGAGTTGAGTAAAACTGCCAAGGACATTGTAATCTTGAGACTCTAGAATTACATCTCTTCTTTGCCATCATTTTCTAATTCAACTTTGGGCTATACAACCTCACTTTTCTTTTTGTCGCTGCCAATAAGAATTCAACTAATTAGTTTCGATTGGAATGACAACAGCCTGCATACATTATGTAAGTTGCAAGTCTGCAACGTACCTTTGTTCCTTTCTTCTTTGGTTTGGCAGATTTTGTTGGTACGTCAGATTTGCTTGTTTGCGCTTCCCCTTGCGTAACTTATCAATCCAAGTTCACTTTCTCTTAGAATTTTTTTTGGCCGAACCTCCTTTTTGTTTTGGTTTGCAACATTAAGTAAATCATCTCCTTGGTCCATATTTGGGTCAACATTTTCTTGGTCATTTGTTGGTTTTTTCATTCATAGCATCCTTTGGATATATTAAACTTTTCATCAAGATGTGTGCAAAGGCAGTCAAGTGCATTGTCTAGCAGCGAACAACATTCTAGAGAGGGGCGGCTTTCTATGCCTACTTTCTAACCTTTACTCGAGGATGAGCAAAGACTTTAAGTGTGGGGGTCCTGTTGACAGTAATTTCATCATATATTCACATAGTCGAAAAAACATCAACAAAACATCATTTCTGGGAATTAACAAGCAAAGAAGTAGTGATTTTGGTACAAATAAGTTGGTTCCACATGTACATGTCATTCTTTGCTCGTAGGTACATAATTGAGCAACATAGGGGGTCACCCGACTACCCTATGGGCCCACTGCCCCTCTCGATCCTTCCACAGCCTTCCATGATCCTCTCAACATCCTCCCAAGCAATATGTGCCATTGGATCACAAGTGTGTTTTCTATCAATGGCTCAAGATCACATCCTATGGATTGGATGGCCCACAAATGAAGAAACCGATGTGACAACATGGTCCCACCTGCATATACCCCTCAAGGAACAAGCTAAGAGGCCTCACATGTCATAGGGGGGGGGGTCAGTCGAACCCCCTATGGTCGGCCGACCACTCACTTCCACCCACCGACCTCCGGCATGGAGACAGGCACAAAAGCACATCGAGGCTTGATTTTGGCCCTTGATTCAATGGCGGTTTCATCCAAAGGCTATGAAGATATGTCACATGGATCCATGGACCCACATAAAAAGCACTATAAATACCCCCTACCCCACTCACTCTCATTCATGACACAAAGATGGAAACTACTCTCTAGTAGCTTAGGCAAAACTCTACTCTTGTAGTATGCAAATAGGGAGAGAGTGAGAGAAGTCTTCTGGAGAAAGAAACGGGTGAGCAAAACTCTACTCTTGTAGTATGCAAATAAGGAATAAGGAGAGAGTGACGAAATCTTCTGGAGAAAGATTCGGGTCTGTCGAGAATGCTCTCCAAAGTGTACCTCGGTGGATGTGCTCTTCTCATACGTAATACATCCGAGATTCTTTTATAGGCTTTGATGTGTGATCCGCCACAAGGTGAACTTGTGCAGGATATTATCTCGCTGAGTAGTGTGTTCATTTAATACTCCATATGAAATGTAATCTTTGTTTGTTTATGTCATGCCTATGAGCGGACCTTCACTGTCTTATTGTGAATGTAGTTTTCTAGCTTTTCTTTCTTATCAGTTTGGGATCTCATCGTGAATGCAGTAGCACCTACATATTAATTAACCCACAAACTATGTTATTGGCCACAGACCAAGCAAGAGTTTGTAGGCAAGATTTCACCCTTTTTATTACACTAAGTTTGAACCATTTCCAAAAAAATCACTAAGGGTGATTTGGATCTATTCCTGTGTTTTTTTCTGTAGAAATTAATTGATTTATGTGAAATTCATGTATAATTTCGATAAAATTACTACATTTAAAAGTGACCCAAAACATTTCCTCTTTTCGGCTCACCAACTTGTCACAACCTTTCGGCTAGCCAGCAGTCCTCTCCTCATCTCATCTTTTCGTTGCCACATCACTTCCCGCTCCCATCTCCAGCCTAGCTAAGCCCATACACCCACCATTCACCAGCCTAGCTAAGCCAATGGCCCATACACCCACCATTCATCACCTTGATATCACACCCTCGTAATTGCCACCGCCACTGCCTTTACACCGAAGCCTGGTTATAGATAGTTACGGTTAAACATAAAAAATTAGGTAGTCCAATAAAATGTTGGTTGTCCGAATTTTAGCAACCAATTTCCTTACCCAGGCTGCCCGAACAACTCCAAAAATCCACTCCCGCTGTTCCAAGATAAACTGTATTACACTTTTCAGGAAATGTATCTCATAGCTATTTCTTATGTTATAATTAAATGTCATGTAGTGCCACATGTCGTAGCCATAAAATGAATGATAATGTGGACCTCAAGCTTTATCTAAATTTAATCATGCTCTAGTTTTGATCGTTGTAAAATTTTTGATTTGGCACGCTAGAGTAGTATAATAGTTGCAAACCAAGCAGACCCTATTTATGTTGGATTAATTGGGCATGGCCCATAGTAATTAATTAAAGGAATTACAAAGACCTACAATAAGTGCTAAGTGGGAGTAGGATTAGTACCATACGGTACACTTCAATATAAATATGAGATAGCGGTACAATTCTTTGCATCTATTTCTTCCATAAAGTTGCATCCCCTCCTGGGCGAGGGCTTCGCTCACTCTACTTCACCACCCGTATAGTATGGAAAATATGAAATTAAGAAACTGTTTGATAATTGTTATTCCTTGATTGAGTTTTCTTTAAAGAGAGAACAAATAATAAGCCACTAAGAAGGTGCTAAATTTAAATAGTAAGCTTGTTAGTGCTCCTATAGATAGGTTCAGAGGGAGAGTTGGGGGATCACACGTGCGCGCCGCCATGCCGTGCCGTGCTAAGCCGAGCCACGCCACGCGCACCTGCCCGCTCGTGCCCCCGTGCCCGTGCCCTTGGCCTTGGTCGGTCGAAGTAACAGTCAGAAGCTTCATCTTCTTCCTCACTCCACTGGTTCTTGTGCTTGCGCTGCCCTCAGCGATCTCCGGTCTGAGCTCCTTGCGCACACAAGGGGCTTAGGTGAGCAGGCCTCCAAAGCTCCATCCGCTGGCGTACTTGCACGGGTAGGTGGACGATAGGTTTAGAGGAGCGCATCCGCGACTGCTCTTCGTCCTTGACTCGATCCGGCAGCTGCGTGCTTCACTGAGTGAACGACTACTTCGAGTAGGGCATCATGACCCAGACATAGTCTGGTGATGCTAATGGTGCTGCCTCTGCCTCTGGCTCGGGTTCCACCAAAGGGTACAAACTAAACTCACCCCTAGCGTATATGGTGATGTGGCAACTTAGTTCGGTAGCAGATCTATGTATGCGATGAATGGATTGCTCATGTTCATATGTGTCATGTTGTATGTGACGTTGTATTTATGGATTAAAGCATACCGCAGAATGACTAAATATTCAACAATTTAAACTATCATGTTCAGTTGCCATATTGTGCTCAAATGATCGTGCATTCGTGCGATGATAGCTGGATGCCGGGTTAGCCACCTTTCTTGAGGTGCTTTACAGTTCATCTCCAGCACCTGAGCACGACTCGTTTCTGTCACCGTCTGACTTGGTCGCAGATTCCGTTCAACCGAACTGCGGCTATAGACTTGAACTAAACACATCCTATCGCAAAATTTCGGTGACTTCATTAAATCAAATTAAATTAGATCCGGAACCTAGTTCAAATACGTAGCTGATGCTGACACAGTGACACGGAGTGCTGCACACCCTCACCCGCACAAGGCATCGCCGCAAAGAAAAAGCGTGTGGAATATAATGGTCTCGGTCGCCACTACCTTATTTATCTTCCCCGCTGAGGCGCTGATGCACCACACACCGACGGAGCAAGAACGCACGCACCTCCCATTCCCATGAGATTCTGAGCGTGTGCCATCCAATCCAGTCTCCTCGCCAGCCACCCATGGAGCAATCCATGAAGAGCAAGTGAGAAACCCTCCTGCCGTGGTTGATGCAAAACCACTGCTCCTGTGATCTGGGCCTTCGCAAAAGGACTAGCTTCTCAAAAATTTGAGCGCGCGCATTTGGCAGCATCCTCAGCACAGCTACCAGCCTACGACCCACATGGCCTCCGCAGCTTTGCTCCCACGCCTCTTGTTGCTAACCCTCGTCATGTCGCTTGTTGCCGTCGCGGCGGGCGGCGACAACTCCACGGCCGCCTCCAAGTTCGCGCCGTCCATGGCCGGCGTCGCGGCCAGCACGTCCTACGAGGACCCGTCTCTCCCGTCCACTGTCCGGTACATGACGGCGGCACGGCGCGCGTGTTCAACTCCAGCTACACCTACTCCTTCCCCACGCGCCCCAGCCCTGGGCGCGTGTTCCTCCGCCTCTTCTTCTACCCGGCCGCCTACGGCGACCGCGGCGCTGGCGAAGCCTTCTTCGGCGTCATGGCGGGCGGCGTCACGCTCCTGCACGACTTCAACGCGTCCCAGACCACGCTCGCGCTCGACCAAGCCTACCTGGTGCCCGAGTTCTCCCTGAACGTCAGCGGCAGCATCGACGTCACCTTCGCCCCATCCTCATCCTCCGCCGGCTCCTCCAACGGCTACTACGCGTTCGTGAACGGCATCGAGATCGTGCCCATGCTGGGCGACATGGTCACGAAGCCCGTGCCGACGTTCGCCAATGGCGGGCTCCCGGACCCCATGCCGATCCGCACCGACACGGCCTTCCAGACCATGTACCGGTTCAACGTCGGTGTCACGGACGTGTCCCCAGGCGACGACTCTACGCTCCTTTACCGTTCGTGGGACGATGACTCTGTTGGTTTTGGAACACGCAAATCGCAGGCCTGTATGCAAATTGGCTAGCCTAGAATTAAGAGGAACAAGTATAAACTCGCGAATGCACTGGAATGCAGAAATGACGAATGGCAACTGTCAGAGGACAGTGCTATTTTCCACGGATTTAAAATGATCAGTACATCACAATTACGATGGAAGTTTTTTCTTACACACACACACTCTGATGTCCAAGCTACTTATACTAGCAACTCTTACACACGACACCTGGCTAAACAACCGCCTAAAACACAGATACAATAGAGTAGAATGCAACCGTCATGCGACGTCGTGTCGTGGGCGCGCTCACCGCGTGCACACCAACCGCCTGAATTCAAACCTGTAGCTTCCCGCCTTCGGTTTGATCAGACTCTGACGCTTCTATGCTATGACAGAATTACACCAACAGACTCCCCCCTAATTCTGACATGCACTGAGGTCACGAACGCCAAGTAGGTGCCTCATCACTGCTAACTTCACTGCTGACAGCGCCTTAGTCAGAGCATCTGCCTTCTATTCCTCGGTGCTCACCCTCTTCACCTGAAACTGACATCTCTCAAAACACTCTCTAATGAAATGGTACTTTGTGTCAATGTGTTTACTACGCCCATGGAACACAGGATTCTTCATTAGAGCAATTGTTGAGTTGTTGTCAACATACAACTTCACTGTCTGTGGTGGCAACCCAGTGATCTCGGCCAGCAGACTTCTCAGCCACAAACCCTGCATAGCTGCTGCAGTAGCTGCCATGAACTCAGCTTCACAAGAAGATAAAGCTACTGTTTTCTCCTTGTAAGAGTTCCAAGTGATCAAACTCTCATTGAGATAAAAAAAAACCATCCCTCCTGTACTTCTTCTCCCAACAATATTCCCTGCATGATCACTGTCAGAATAGCCTACTAGCACCTCCTGCTTACCTTCCTGAGTATACACCAAACCATAGTCAACAGTTCACTTCAAGTATCTCAGAATCTGTTTGACTGCTCTCTGATGCATCAATGTTGGCTTCTCCATGAATCTACTAGCCATACCCACTGAGAGACAGATCAGGTCTTGTATGCAGCAGATATCTAAGACAGCCAATGACTTTTCTATACTCAGTTGAGTCCTCAAACACACCTTGCTTGTCTTCATCAAGCTTCACCCCAGGGCTCATTGGAAATTTTGTTGAATTGCAATCTGCCATTCCAAACTATGCTAGTACTTTCTTGGCATAGCTAGATTGTTTGATTGTGATATGATCTTTCTGCTATTCCACCTCTATCCCAAGGTAAAAGGACATCAACCCCAAGTCACTCATATCAAATTCAGATGTCATTTGTTTCTTGAACAGATCAATTTCACCAGGATTTTCTCCTGTAATAATCAAATCATCAACATATACCCCAAGCACCACTGCACTATTTCCAATACCCCTCTTATACACACTGCTTCACTTGGACACTTTCTAAATCCAAGTTTCTTCAGGCTTTTATCCAGCCTGATATTCCAGGCCCTTAGAGCTTGCCTCAAACCATAAAGAGCTTTACTAAGTTTGAGTACCATCTTCTCTTTTCCCTTCCGCACATAACCTTCTGGTTGACTAACATAGACCTCCTCTTCAAGTTCTCCATTCAAAAATGCAGATTTGACATCTAAATGGTGAACTTGCCAACCTCTATTTGCAGCAAGTGCTAGCAACAATCTTATTGTATCAAGCCTGACCACTGGAGCAAATACCTCATCAAAGTCCACTCCATGCTTCTGCACATATCCCTTAGCAACCAATCTAGCTTTGTGCTTGATCATCTCTCCCACTGAATTTCTTTTCAGCTTCTAAACCCATTTAAGTCCAATAGGCTTATGACCAGATGGTAATTCTGCAAGTTCCCATGTCCCATTCTTGCATATGGACTGAATTTCACTGTCCATAGCTGCCACCCACTCCACATTTCCAGTAGCTTCTTGGTATGTGGATGGCTCTTCCATCATTGCAAGCAATGCACCCAATTCTGAATCTGATGCCAAATCAACTTCACTAGTTTCATCATAAACTTCATTTAAGTTTCTGAACCTCAAAGGTTCCTCATCATAGTCACTATTATTTCCTGGATCCTCAGGTTGTTGATCCCAACTTGCTCCCTGTGCAAAATTCTCTGAATTCGCTTCTTCTGTCTCTATTGTCGGTTCTGGAACAGTGACTGAATGGCCTTCAATTCCTGTATTGACTGAACTTGACTCTTGAACAGCTCCTCCAGCTTCCCCTCCACTTGTTGATCCAACTACACTTGTTGACCCACCAAGAGAGCCATGCTGAGAGTTCTCACCACCACCATTTGCATCAGCAGATCCCACAATCTGAGTAATGAAATGATCTTGTTGTTCTACTGTGAGTCACCCTTGCTGCGCAGCATTTTACCAGGGCCCCTGATCTATTCATTTCCTCCCCAGCATTTGAACAGTAGCGCACCGATTTGATGATCCCCTTCCTTTCTCTTTGGCACCTACAAGGGATAATTTTTTAAAACAAAAAAGAAATAAACGAAGTTAGCAGGCGCAATACATGTGTACAGGGGGCGGATCCAGTAAAGGGGCATGGGTGTACACATGTACACCCAATAATTTTTGCAAAAACTTCAAAGTTAGGAGGCTTGTCAAATAGCTAAATAGCTTTAGGTTAGGGTTTTTGTGCTCAGCTTCGCACAGCATAAGGGAAGAGAAGAGAAGGGGTGGGAGTACCTGGTGGGTGCTCCTCGCCGGCGAAGAGACCAACGAAAGCCTCAGCACCTGGCTTAGGGCGGCAGCGGCGTCTGAGAGTGAGAGGGAAGCGAGAGCGAGAGAGGGAGAGACAGAACGAGGAGGAAGAGGGATGAAACGGACGGAAGGGGAATGGCGACAGAAAATTCATTGCTTCACTTCCAATCCCAGCTCTTAGACTCCTCAAAAATAACATCTCTGCTCACCACAAGTTTGTTAGTCTGAGGATTAAACATTCTATGAGCTTTACTCCCCTCCTCAACTCCAAAGTAAACCATTGGAGTGCTTCTGTCTTCCAATTTCTTCAGGTGTGGCATTGTGTTTTTCACATGACCCACATTGCCAAACACCTTCAAATGACTAAGATGAGGTTTTCTACCATTCCAAACCTCATAGGGGGTTTGAGTTCCCAAAGCCTTAGTTGGTAACCTATTCGACAAGTATACTGAATGCCTGACAGCTTCTCCCCAACACCTTTCTGGCACTCTCATGCTCTTTAACAGTGATCTAGACATCTCCATCACAGTTCTATTTTTCCTCTCTACTACTCCATTCTGCTACGGTGTATATGGAGCTGTGAACTGCCTTTTAATCCCAGCATATTCACATATATCTCTGAAAGAAATAGCTAAGAACTCTCCACCTTTGTCTGATCTCACAACTTTGATTTTCTGTTCTAAACTATTCTCTGCTAGTGTCTTAAACTTAGCAAATGCACAGCTAGCTTCATCTTTGGACTTAAGCATAAAGACAGACATCATTCTAGAACAGTCATCAACAATGAGCATGAAGTACTTGTTACCTCCTGCAGTTGCAGGTGAAATAGGTCCACATAAATCAATGTGGAGCAACTCCAAAGGCTTGCTTGCACGTCACTGTGCCATCCTAGGGAATGCCATGCGTGTTTGCTTCCTTGCCAAACATGCCTGACAGACTTCATCAGTGTGATCAATCACAGGAACACCTCCCACCATGGATTTTTCTGACAACAGCTTCAGTGACCGAAAGCTTGCATGACCAAGCCTGTCATGCCACAACCAGGCTTCTTCAAACACCCTTGCCATCAAGCACATTGGTTCTGAACTTCTCAAATCAGCTTGGTATAGTTGATTTGCAGTTCGACTAACCCTCAACACAAGCTTCTGTCTCACTTTGTCATACACCTCCAACCAATTGTCATCCATGATCACTTTGTGCCCGGCTTCAGTAAGCTGCCCCAGGCTGATCAAATTGCTTTTCAGCCTAGGGATGTAGTACAAATCATGCAGCAGCCACCGATCCCCATTCCTGCACTGAAACAGCAGTGTTCCCCTTCCCTTGATCTCCACTGCAGAGCCATCACCAAATCTGACCTTGCCAACCACTCCCTTGTCAAGGTCTTGAAACTTGCCTGCATCACCTGACATGTGATTGCTGGCCTCATTGTCCAGATACCAGACATTTCCTGTCTTCTTCTCTCCATCGGTCAAATGCAGCTCGGGCATCACTTGCCTCTCATCTAGGAACACAGCAGAGTGCTGCATCCCCGTGATCACCCTTGGCGTGAACTCGAGCGACTCTGGCACCTCCGTGACCGCGAGCATCAGCGCCGGCTCGACGTTCTCCACTCGAGCATGATGAGCTTCGTCTCCCTTGTTCTCTTCTCCACCTGGACAACGATTGGCGTAGTGACCAGTCTTGTGACATTTGAAGCACTTGATGTGGCTCTTGTCACGCTTGGCCCCGCCTTCCTTGTCGAACGCATCCCCGCGCCCGCCGTGGCCATGGCCTTACCCGCCGTGCCCTCGGCCTCGGCCACGACTCTCCCCGTCTTGCGCTCTCCCCTTCCCCGAGGACTCCCCGCCGGACTTCTTGTGTCACGCCTCCCACTCGGCCTACGTGAGCAACAGCTACCCCCTGTCACCCCTGGATCCACCCGCTCCCCGCTGGATCCGCTCCTCGTAGGTCTTCAGACGACCCGTCCTCAAAAGGCAGTTTCTTCAGATAAAAAAACTGCTCTATCCCGGCGACCACCGTGATGAAGCGATCCGGGACAGTGTCAAAGAGCTTCTTCACCATCGCCGTATCGTCCAGGATTCCACCTAGGTTCCCGTACTTCACCAACATCGTCGAAATCTTGCTTGCATACTGATCAACTCCTTCAACATCCTTCATACGCAGTGCATCGAACTCACACTTCAAAGTCTGCAACCTTGCCTCCTTCACACGATCCGCACCAACGAACTGCTCCTTGAGACACTCCCAGACCTCCTTCCCCGTCGTCTTCTTCGCCACTTGCATAAGCAAGTCATCAGGTAGACACCGAAGGAGATGAGCCCTCGCCATCCTGTCCTTGACAGTTCTTGCCGCCGTCGCCGCCTGGTCCTCTGCTGCCACATCTGCCTCCCCCGATGGCTCTACTACCTCCCACACACCTTGGTCCTCCATAATTGCTTGCACTCGGATGCTCCAGCTCGTGTAGTTGACGCCCGTTAGCTGCGGATATGCATACCGCTCACCGCCGCCACTGCCACCTCCCCCGCCAGAACCGCCGCCGCCAGAGCGACTTGTTTCGCTCATCGCCGCAAATTATGGTGGATCAGGCTGTGATTGCCGGCTCCGATACCAAATGTTGGTTTTGGAACATGCAAATCACAGGCCTGTATGCAAATTGGCTAGCCTAGAATCAAGAGGAACAAGTATAAACTCGCGAATGCACTGGAACGTAGAAATGACGAACGACAACTGTCAGAGGACAGTGCTATTTTCCACGGATTTAAAATGATCAATACATCACAATTACGATGGAAGTTTTTTCACACACTCTAATGCCAAAGCTACTTATACCAGCAACTCTTACACACGACACTTGGCTAAACAACCGCCTAAAACATAGATACAATAGAGTAGAAAGCAACCGTCATGCGACGTCGTGTCATGGACGCGCTCACCGCGTGCACACCAACCGCCTGAATTCAAACATGCAGCTTCCCGCCTTTGGCTTGATCGGACTCTGACGCTTCTAGCTATGACAGAATTACACCAACAGACTCGCCTTACATATTCGGCGCGGCCTTCGGTGTTGAGCTACGGCAAGGACAGCAACGTCAGCATCCAGTACACGCCGTCCGTGCCCCCGTACATAGCGCCGGAGAGCGTGTACGCATCGGCGAGGTCGATGGGCCCGAGCGCGCAGATCAACCTCAACTACAACCTCACGTGGATCCTCCCCATCGACGCCGGATTCTACTACATCCTGCGGTTCCACCTCTGCGAGGTCCAGTACCCGATCACGAAGGTGAACCAACGAGTGTTTTACATCTACATCAACAACCAGACGGCACAGGAGCAAATGGACGTGATCGCTTGGGGCGGGGGCATCGGCAGGCCGGTGCACACCGACTACCTCGTCGTGACGGCGCCCGGCGCCGGGCAGACGGACCTTTGGGTCGCCCTGCACCCGGAGGTGGACACCAGGCCGGAGTACTACGACGCGATCCTGAACGGGCTCGAGGTCTTCAAGCTCCAGACGTACAACACCGACAGCCTCGCCGGCCCCAACCTGTCGATCCCTCAGGCGTGTACTGGATGGCAACGGGTCCGATACCCAATACCCGACGGGTATTTGATCCATTAGGGATGGGGATGGGATCATATCTTTACCCGCGGGCATCTAAATAAGCAAAAATCCATCCCCGACGGGTATAGCAGGTACGGGAACGTTCCCTGTTTACCCGTCCCCATTACCCGTTGGGGAACCCGAATATTTGAGCTCTCATGCGAGTATTAGGTCCAAAGAAGCTCAACATAGGTATTTTAGCCCAAATCTGAACAATCATATATATAGTTTGTGTGTTTTAGGAACCCTAGTTCAATTTTTCTTCACCATCTCCGCCAGCAGCACAAGCATGCCTGCCTTACGAGCGCTCGTGCCCCTCGCTTCCTCAGTTCGATCTCTCTGCCACCTTTGCTCGTCCTCTCGCAACCTCGCTCCTTCTCCTCGGCATCTCCGAGACTCCGACATTTACACCCAGGTGAAGAAAAAACATCTCCGATTATAAAGCTGCGACCCCAAGTGTCCTTGTTTATCGGGTATGCAGTACTCGTCGGGTATCTGTTACCCGACCGATGCCCGACCGGTACGGGGATGGACAAGAATCTATACCCGAGACAGTTAATGAGGACGGAGAAGGGATGAATTCTCCGTAGCGGGAAAGAAAACGTTCCAACGATACCCGACAGGTACATCCCCGTTGCCATCTTTACTCAGGCGGTGGACGGTGGTCACGCGGTCGCGGTGCAATCCAAGAGGAAGAGCGACGCTTTTGTGGCTGGATGGGCCGCGGCCGCCGTTGGCCTCGTTGCCGTGCTGGTGGGCTGTCTCTTCACCTGGGCTATTTTCTGCAGGCGGAAGTGGAAGGCCGGATCGGATGTCGTCCACGTGCCCGAGCCCGTCCATAAGACACCGGCTCCTGTCCTCCATGGCCCAACAGCCTACGTTTTCTCCGTCACGGCCCAGAAATAATCGTTGTCTTACGGATAAGGACACTGTAACTAACTAGGCCACTTTAATAAGGCCCATATGGAAGGAAGATACGTTTGCAGCCCAAATTTTCTTCTCTGTTCCCTGTTCTTTCAGCTTCATTCCCATGTGTGACGTGCGAATGCGCCGCCTGACAGATCACAGATGTTTCGGGTTAGGTTGCCGCTGCTTTTCGCTCGTCTTGGTGAACAACAAGTTGCTAACAAATCTGGGCGTTTCCGCTTCCGATTCCTCGTCACGGAGTACGCACTTGGTCAGAATTCGTGGTGGACCAACCGAAATGGAAGCTTGGAAGGGTGCTTTCCGTGTGGATCCAGGCAAGAAAAGCCCGTGTCTCGCGACAGCATTCCCGGGTGATGTCACGCGGAAATTAGGTCACTTGCGGCGCCATCACGGAGATCGCATGGTGTCATCCGTGGGCAACCGATGTTTAGACACGTCTGTCTGGTTGGATTTCTCCCAGCAGGAGTTTTCAGGTAGCTTGTTATGCTGGTGTAAGTTGCATCATTGGGCTGCCTGAACTGATTACTCGTCAATAGCAGTCCCGTGGCACGTCTTCAGGTAATCAACATCTATGCGGTGACGCTCTGTGCCAGTCTAATGAGATTTTTAAGGTCTGTTTGGAACGCAGGAATAAAAAATATAGAAATGGAAAAAAACACAGGAATAGAAAGTGAGTAGAGGTTGAAAACAGAGGATTGAAAAATGTAAGAATTTTGTGGGAAAGAGTGTTTGGAATGGAGGAACTAAAAGTTTCAGTTAGATAATTAATACCACTTTAACAATATTTTTTTGTTATAATAATCAACACTGTGGGCGTTAGACAAATGATCCCATGCATTTGGACAACAGCAGTATCGAGAAATGAGCTAGTGCTCTTTTGTTTATCTCCTCTGCGCTCCTTTTTGCCTCGGTCTTATGCGAAACCAGAGCTTAGACTAGATGTATTTTTTCCTACGTTTTGTGAAGCGAACCAAACCTTTCCTTTGGAACTGAAACGAGCGTTCCTCCGTTCCGAACGCTGCCTGACGTCATCCAAACAGAGGAACTGGTTTCCTTCAAAGTTCCTGTGAAAATACTCCAATCCTAGAACAGTATGTGGCTGCAACCATTGCACGGCGGTGTCTCGTATTGTTAGATTGTTGCTCGTGTCACAAGTTAATTCATTTTACCAGATGTGATTTCCAAGTTACCTGCAAGAAAAGGTGAATGCTCTGCGACAAGGAGACTCTGACAGGACCGTTCAAGTGCAATTTTGGAGGCGCCACCGCGAGAGTTGGAGATCTACTCCATTCGAATGTTTCTGGGCCTGGCATCATCATCATGGTTCATGAGAGCGGACTCCAGTAAGATCGATCGAAAAGGGTAGTAGTAGTAGAAAAGAAACAGCCGGACACAGTGCACAAGTGCATCGCATGCTCATCATAACTGAGGCGGCAAAAAGGCAGCGCCTTGAGGCAGGAATTCATCACCAAAGCGCCGGTCCTTTACACCCCTCCCCCCGATACGGCTCTCCGATCCACCTGTAGTCACGACGAGGCAGATGAGATCGGAGAGAAACCCGACCCGGCGCATGCTAAGTGTGCAAGCCAAGCAATCCTTTTTTTTCGCGATTCCTTGCTTTGGATTAAAAGGCACGGGCTTCTTGATCTTTCGCGCACTAACGAAAGACAGCTTCGCCTTGTCTTGTGAGCTTGTGCTCCGCAGTACTGGACTACTGGGGGGCAAATTCTTTGCGGTTTGCACTAAGAACAGAGGCATATGGCTGTAGCGGACTGTCAGTCATCAGTAACTCTGAAACTGGTTGGCTTGCTTCAAGAACAAGAATACTAATCTGGTTCTCAAATCTCAAACAGGCTGGCTGCTTAATACTCCCTCTGTCCATGAAAACATGTAATTCTAGTACAGTGTCGTGGTTTAGTATCTCAAATTTAATTAATTATAAATAAAAAATATTAATATTTACTGTATCAAATAAATACAATTAGATTCATTATTAAATGTATTTTCTTAATAAATTAATCAGAAAGTCATAAATGTGAATAGTATTTACTAGAAATTTGGTTAAACGTAAACTATTTTGTCGGCACGTAATCCGTAGTTGCATGTTTTGTTGGACAGAGGGAGTAGTACCAACAGTCTGACATCCTAGACCATACAAAGCAGTTTTGATTCCTTTTGACGCCTATTAATTGTTTTTTTAAACGAATCAGACAGGAGAGCTGCTGATTATATTAAAACAAAGATGAGCCCAAAATGGGCACAACGATACAACAAAGACCAACAACCACGTCGCAAAACAAACTTAACAAAAGGAAGAGAAAATAACTCTAGCCGGTCGGATTGGGACATCGACACGAGCCACACTCAAAAACTACCGGTTGGATTGAGACATCAACACACGCACACCAACTCCACTCAACTTCAAAAAGTTCCCCACGCCGCACCCCCACAAACCAAGAGTAGAGCCGACAAGTAGCCCTCACCGCAAGTGCCATCGTTATCGACGATGTCCCACGCCAACCAGTCGCTGCCATGCAGAACTAGCCGCCACAGTCCGCTACATGTCGTGTAGCTACCACGACTCCCCCACCATGCCATCGTCGTCTTTAGGTCACGCACACATGATCGTCGATCTTCCAACCACGGCCATGCGTCGGCAGAAGTCAGAAGAGAAGCCCACCGCACCACACCGAAGAGGCCACCGCCATGCAGGACCCCTTGCCGAAGTACCGCTGCAGCACCTTACACACCAAACAATCGAAACACCGCACCAGATCCTAGATCTCCAAGGCAACTCAAATGCGTGGGGGCCTCGTCACATCCACCGCCGCACACCACTCCTCGGACACACCACCTTAAAGCGCACAGGGGCCTCGCCACTCTCGTCGCTAAACTCTTCGAGGATCTAGGCTTGCTTCGCCGTCGGGGTGACATGGTACCACCGAGCCGCTCCATTAACTTCACCATCGTCTCGCCGCCACCGAAATCTTAGTTGCACCACGTGCACGAACACAAAGCTTCTAGAGACAGCTCACCACCTTGGCCTTCTCCTTACCCGGTCGGATTGGGACATCGACACGAGCCTCAATGGAAAAAACCTCCGCTCGGTCGGATTGGGTCGTCGACATGAGTCTCCACTTCGCTGCCATCGCCACGTTGTGCCGCTCACTCATCATAACTATACAAACACCTCCGTGGTCCCCTTGCTGCCTTCCTCACGCCTTGCCGAGCCATAGCCTCTTGGCCTTCAAGAAGCAGCCAGGTTCCTCCAGCCACACCACCATGGCGCCACTGGTGCCCCTGTATGATCTCTGGTTGGCCTAGAGGGGGGTGAATAGGCCTATCAAAACAAACACTCAAACTCTTATCAAATTCACTCTGCGGCACTGCCGCTCTAGAGTGCGGCATTGCTGGACTAGAACAGCGGCACTGCCACACCTGCAGACAACTTCGAGTCATAGTTCAAAATCAGTGAATGAAAACTTAGATCAGAGAAATTTCTCAGCCTACTGCAGTTATGATAGTCACAGATCAAGAGCTAGAAGTTGTAGGAACACCACATACAAGTAGATCAACTAGAAACCCTAGAAATCACCTCAACCAACAATATGAAATGCAAGTAATGTAAACCAAGCACAAGTGACACCATAATTTATCCCGTGGTTCGGCTCGCCACGAAGGCTTGCCTACCTCCACGTTATTGAGGTTGGCCACTAAGGCTTAGGGCTTTCCAACCCTTCCTCGTTCTCAAGTCAAGAGACTTAACTCTTGAGATGAGGGATGAGTTTACTAGCTTTAAGAGATGGTTACAAACCACCCGAGGCAGCCACACATGTGGGCAAGCTCCATGGGCGACGCTCTAGCCGGCTAGGAGCCAAGCTCCAAGAGTAACAAACACAACTGCCAGCCAAAACATGAACCAAGTGCTCTTTTGAGTTGGGGAATCAATGGAGCTGCTCTCTAATCAAGTTTTAGACCCTTTTCTCTCAAGGATTGATGGAGAAATCAATGGATTTGCTTGAGGGCTCAAGGTCAACAATGGAGGGAGAGAGAGACAGAGGCTCCTGTCTGTTTTGGACAAGTTAGAGTGAGGAAGAAAAGACAGAGAGCCGTTGGGGAGGAAGGGGAAGGGTATAAATACCCCCCAGCCCCCAACGGTCACTTAAGTCATGGCAGTACCGTAGCTCAAGTGCGGCAGTGCTGCACCACGCAAGACAACAAAGGTTATAGTGAAGTGTAGACTGTCTTGGCTGTGAATCTGAGGATGCATGTGTATGTTTGAGCACTTGGTAGCACATATTAGCTTAAACATTGTATCCCCCTTTATAGTACGCCTTTTCCTATACTCAAATTCAAAATATAATAGAATTTAAACCTCCTTTGAGTTTGAAGCCATCTACATTTGTAATTGGGGGCTCCTCCATTTCGTGTAGCATCCTCAAACATGAATTCCCTACTTGTCATCTCGATAAATCTCATTAGTTCTCTAATTGCGTGGTCATTATCACCAAAACCCACAATTAGGGTTTGATTGCACTTTCAATCTTTCCCTTTTTGGTGATTGATGACAACCCAATTAGAGCTTACAAAGATATGAAATAAATACTGAGATTTTTGAGCCATGGGTGTAGAGCCTCCCCCTAAATGTGTGAATAGAGAATTGAATTCTCAAATTGGCATAAGAAGCCAAAATTCACATTTTAGTGAAAGTGATGGGGCTCCCCCTACATCTGTAACACCCCAGGTGTTTGTCACTAGTTAAGCAATGGGTTTGAGCTCAAACATGACATGTTAAGTGGTGATGAAGGTGTCAAGATCAAATCTACAAGAGTGAGCTCCAACTTAAACTTGGACAACACACCTTTACTTACATATGTATCCTTGTTAAGATTATGCTAGAGTAATGTTAAACATGCTTATTTCATGTACATTACATCAACATGCATCCATCTTGACCAGTGGAAAAGTTTTATGAAGTT